ATATAATTACTTAAATAATAATTAAATAAAAATTAAAAAATTAATTAACATTATAAATAAAAATAAAATAAAATAATTTATATAAATTTATAATTATAATTATTATAAACATAAATATAATATTTATTTAAATTATCTATATAATTATAACAATTAAAATTTAATTTACAAATAAAAAAAAAATTATAAAAATAATAAAAATAATATATATCCCTTAAAATAATACGCGTAAAATTAACATATTATTAAAAAATAAAAATTATAAACCTAATAAAATTACTAATTAAAATAAAAAATTAACACTTTAATAAAAAGTTAATAAAAAATAACTAATAATATAAATAATTATTAAACACAAAAAATAATACCGTAATTATTATATAATAATTATATCTTATATATATTATACAAAAATTAAAAAATATAATTTACTTAATAAATTAATTAAAATAACCAAAATAAATAAAACAATACAATATTTTTTAATATAAATTTTACAAAAATTACTTTTAATATAACGTTTTTTATCGCATTAAATAAAACTTAATATTAACAAAACATTAAAGTTAAAATTATCGTAAATAACTATTATATTAACTACTTAAAAAATAAAAATTTTAAAAACCAAATTAAAAACCAAATAAAAAACGATAAAAATATAAAAAATAAAAAGGTTTAACTTTAAACAAAAACTAACAAAACGCATATAACAAATATTAATAACATTAAAAATTTAAATTTATTAAATTTTATTATAATAAAATATAATAAATAAATATATTAACAAATAAAATTATAAAAAAATAAAATTATAATTAAAATAAAAGATTAAATTTAAAAAATTATATTACGTTAAAAAAAAATTTAAAAAAAAAAATTAAAAAAATAAATTAAAAAAATTTTTTATTTATATAAACCTTTTTTACTAAACTATTTTAAAACTATTACTACAACAATATAAATAATAATTATAATAAAAAAAATAATTTAATACATTGCAAAAATATTAACGTAAATCCCAAATAACACATACAAACCCACCTATTAAATTTATTTTTTTTATTATATACCGTAATAATTACCACCTAACTTATTTTTAAAACAAATTATTACCCGTATACGCAACCTTTAACAACACTAATAAACTCGAAAATATAATATATTATTTTCACTTAAAAAATATATTATACAAAATAAATAACTATAATTATAACATAACCACTATAACAGCTATAAAAAATTATAACATTAACCATAACTATTATATAATTAATTAACTATATAAAAATTACATTATACATAATTATACCTTAAATAACTTAAACTTTTACATACCATTTATAATTACCATATACTATTTATAACAATATTATAACCTTTAATAAATAATATATTTAATATTTTTTTTTTAAAAAAAAAAACTATAAATTTAATTAAAATTTTCGTTAAATTTTATTAAAAATTATATAAAAATTTTTTAAATATTATTTTTAATTAAAATTTTAAATTTATTACTTATTTATAATAAAACTTTTTTAAATTTATAAATATTAAACTATAAATAAATATAATTTTTTATTTTTAAACATTTATTAATTATAAAATAACTAATTAAAAAAATTTATTATTAACGGTAAAATTTGTATATAATAACTTAAAATTAACATTATTATATATAATATCGTTTTACATAAATTATAACTTTTATTCCGTAATTTTTAATTTATTTACCAGTATTTTTTAAAATTTAAATAATTAATTATATATATATTAAATAAAATAAATTTATATTAAAACATAATAATATTTAAAAAAAAATTATTAATATATAAAAGATTAAATTAATAAAAAAAAAACATTAAAATTTAAAAAAAGTTAATTAATTATATTAAATAATAAAAATATTAAAATAAAACAATCTGTTAAAAAATTAAATAAAAAAATGTTAAACTTTTTTAAAATTTAAAAGGTATTTTTTTTTATTATTATTAAATTTTATTTATTTAAAAAATAAAAAATTTATAACTTATTTTACATTTTATTTATTAAACTTTATTACATTAATAATTAAATATTATTTAATTTTAATAAAGTTTAAAAAATATTATATAAATAAAGTTAAAAATTTTATATAAATTTAAAAAAATATAAAATATTTAATTAAATGGAAAAGTTAATTAATTAAAAAATATTAAACTTAAAAACCTTTTAATTATTTTAATAATAAAAACGTTAAATAAATAATTTTAATATTTTATTAATAAAATTTAAAAAAGTTAATAAACTTTTAAACTTTATTAAAAAAAATTATATTTTTTATTTAAAACTTTAATTTAAAAATAAATTTTTAAAAAAAAAAGTAATATTATATAAATAATAATACCAAAAAATTATTAGTTAAAAAAAACAATTAATAAAAAATATAAAATAATTATTTTAAAATTTATTAAATAAAAAATATTATATAATTATATAATTATATATAAATAAAGTTAATATATTAATAAAAATTTAATTAAACCGAAAAATACATATTTTAAATTATTTACAAATAAGTTAAAATCTTTTTTTTAAAAAAAAAAGGAAAATTAAAAACCTTAAAACCTTAAAAAATTATTAGTAATCTTAATTATATTCCAAGCCCTTTACAGCCCTTGTTACACAGACTGTATGAGGTGTTCACCATGGCTTGCAAGTCTTTTAACACTGGAACTATTCCTTCGTTCCTGGGGAGGAAAATCTATTCGGAGAGCACCTTGCCCCTTTTGACCTACTTCATTGCCCGTGCTCTTGCTGCCGCCCCCAACCATAGGGGCTCCTCGGCTGTTGATGACTTTAGCGGCGTGAAATCCGGGATCGGAAAAGCGGAACGGCCCATACCAAACGAAAGTCAACAGCTTAGAGAGACTTTGCTCAATCTCATGAACAAAGGCCCAGGTAGAGATCCAGGCCAGTGGACACCATGATGGATTCGGATTGGAATAATAAGGTCTTCTTTGCTGGCGAGCAAGCCAGCTTTACCCATGGCTAGATCCAAGGCGCTCTCGAAGCCGGGTTAAGATGCGTACAGCAAGTCTAGGATGCTGCCGCGGGTCCGACGGCACAGTGATGAATTTGATCGAATGTTGTGCGCTATACCTGATTAGGAGGGGCGCCAAACTCGGAAGGTCAAAGAGGCAGCGTGATGAGTAGACTGAAATGCAAGTGTAAGAATCCGGGTTTCTTTGAGGTAGGCTCTGAAGCCTCTAGGTAGGTAGGGTTACTCCTGTTCGATGTCACTCATAAGGCGCAAGGATATGAGGCTCAACTATGATGTGATGGGTGAGTGGGCAATATAAGCATATTGATACATTGGAGTACAGTGGGAGAGTTACCTACAGTATGTGATGGTGTTGCACAGCTGCAGTTACACGTAAACCACCTCCTATACTTGTGTCGTAGGGTCGTATGGGGTTGACGAATACATCTCTATCTTTAAGGCCATGTATGTAACGCAATGGTTCGGATCATGTATCCTGTCCAGGGCACATATGAATTTGCGTCCGAATTTTCGAAAATTGAAATACATCTAATTAATTGAACTATAACTATTGGTTTCTAGTTGACTGGTAGCCATTAATCCTTGTTTGCACGTGAGAACGAAGAGTTATGTCTCTCAGGGGTAAAATAGGGGTGTTCACTTTTCCAAACCATTATTTTACTAAATGGGTTGAACAACACAAACTCGTGACATACGAGCTTCTGAAGTGACCTACCTTCGACGAACTTAAACTCATAAGCATCTAGAAGCCTCACTAGAGTTATTCTGATAATAGTATTAGCTATGAACCGGCCTAGGCATGCAGAGCGTCCAGCGTCCCACGTAAGGATATTCCCATCAACGCTGATGAAGGGACGGGTATGTTAGACATACTGTAGATGCCCCCTACCGCTATGGTTGCCGCAAGTTTGACCAGTATATGAGGGTCAGTTACGTCGACCGACTTATCATCCGTCGCTATCCAGGACAGAAAGTCAAGATCCTTCGATGACGCATTTTCTCCTTATTGACGGTGTTTGACTTCTAATACAACGTATTGTACCTCTTAGCGCTTCTACTCTTCTTTTGGTGACATTGACTAGCTGCGCTACCTTCCTCGCTATAGGGCAAGCTATCTTCGAGGCAACATTCAGGTCAAACCTTGCCCCTATATTGTCACTGGACGCTGTCAACGCATACAGCAAAACAATAACTCAAGTTTTCGTAAGGTAAAATGGCATGCCAACAGGAAGCTAACTCAGCTAATAGTTATGGACTAGTATGTACATCCCTGCCGGAGCACCTGTTCTATCATTTATCTTAGTGGCCTGTTGCAGCTGGACAAGTACGAAGAGAAGACTAGTGAAGGACGAAAAGGCTTGACCCTCACGAAAGGTAGATGTTTCATGATATCATATGAGTTTCTATGGTAGTATTGCAAATCAATCATATCAAGGCGCTACATGCAAAGCCCCTATTCAACCAACTAGCAAATGGAATAGGGGTAATAAGCCAATTAGTCTACCTAGTCGCTTAGACTGTTTAAAGAGTATCATACGCCTATTATTGAGTACTCAGGTAATTATTAGAAGGCGGATAATCTAAGCGTTGAAGCTTGTCATGGTCATATACTTAAAGATATCATGTGATTCGTAGAGGATTATTATCGTTGGTTCAACGAGGTGACATTTCGTTAAAAGTATTATAGATACGTCTACCATACCTACCTACATAAATTACCTCGTGCATTATGCATGTACCTTTAATGTATACCTTAGCACATGATTGTGTACTTCTCCCCTACCAGGGTACCTAGGACATGTAGGAACGGTTACACGAAGGACGAGAATTGGACATTTAAATGCCGAGATAATATGAGATCTGAAAGAAGTAAACAGGTAGGTATTGATCACATTCATAATACCTCAAACTATACCTGTTTAACCAGGATTCAACTTTGATTCTTTCTCTATCCGTCAGCATGGCGTTGCCTGTTCGTGTATAGATTACTCGTAAGTCTATTATCGACCACTACGGCCCCCTTTCTATGACTCCTATTAACCATCTAGCAACTAGCTCCCGGACCTAATCCCTAGAAGCTAGGTCTATTTAAAGGGGTAACTTTCTGATATTAGCACTAATTTTCCACTAGGTTGTCTTTGTGATCCAAGAATTAGGAGGCATCAGAAAAGTTCAACGGCTTCTCTAATGTGAAAGCCTGGCACGAGCGTATGACGTCACGAGACTCATGGAAAGCTATTATGGAGGTTAGAGACAAGTTGATGGACGAACAGGGCTTGATGTGGAACGGCATGCCGAAAGGCATCAAGAATTTCCAGGAGTACGAGGCCAAGATCAAGGCGGGCGATTACAACACAACCCGCACCAGCTGAGGGCAGCAATGATTCATCTAAATAGGGGCATATATTTAGTAAGAGAAGTTCCTAGCGTGCAGAATCCAATCCATTTAAACACCATGGCATATGACCGTTGAGTTTCCATCATTTCGGTCTTATTGAATCTATATCCAAACTTTGTCGTCGGCTCGATTCTTCTCGAGATAATCATATACCTCGCCATAATTCTTACACACGTGCTTTGCGTCCCATCCATCGCTGCCGTCGAAGCCCTCAGGGAAGGTAGTTTGTTCGCCTTCCAATGCGACGTCTCCACAGCACATGATGCTCTGTCGCAAGTAGTCAAAGCAATGAGTTAAGTGCCATGGCGTCTCCTGAGGTACTCGGCTCGCGTCTGATGTAAGTGCCGAATAGGCCTCGGCAATGGCATACTATCGGTCAATGTTAGTGACACACGGACATACCACACAGACAGGAAAGGAGGCGGGGTAGGAATATTTACCAGACAGTGAAGTTGGTGTGTCATGGATGAGGTGACGACGAACTGATCCGGATACGAGTTTAACTGCGCCGGTAAATTGTCGTATTCTTGCGGGTCCTTAATTTCAAGGTATCCGAGGCCCTCTGTCAATACGCACCCCGGGTTAGCTTGTCGCTCCAATAGTTGATCATTTAGGGACGGAGCAGGAGATGTGCATCTACGTACTCGGCACTAGACTTAACCACTTCTTCCGAGTCTCTTCCGAGAAGAATTCGGAGGTGTTTTCCGGCACGAAGGAAGGATCCGGAGAGAAAGTTGTGACCTTCTGCCCAAACTCTGGCGCAAACCCCGTCAAGTCGCCACCTCCTTCAAAGAAATGTTCTCTCCCGTGCCGTCGAAAGTCACCTCCTAGAAGCAACAGCACAATGACCACTAATAAGAATGTGTCGATTAACCATCTGTGCTCCTTAAGGATGGCGAGAAACGCGCTCTTCTCGCTCGATCCCGTTCGTGATGTTGTCGTTTCGTGCATGTAGTCTTTCTCGTTTAAGTCAAGCGCCTCTAGATCAACGTCCGTGCTACTGGAGTCGTCGCGATCCTCATCGCGAGCCCTGCTAAGCTTGCGATACAAGTCCTTGGGTTTCCGATGATCCTTCATCTTCGCTGAAGCTTAGCCCTTTTTTTTTTATAACAAAATATTGTATACAGTCCTGCTGCCCGACTCGCAAGCGAAACGTATTAAAATTGAATAAAAATACGGGATCCCGGCCCGGTAAGAAGAGAATGAGACAACGAAAAGCCCGATAGACTACGGGATGACTAAATGAAAAAAAAAACCAATAAACAAGTAAAAATAAAATGAATTGGATTATTGCAAAAGAGAATATTAAAAATAAATTCTAAATGTCAGAGATCGGATGGTTAGATTCTGCGACCCCAAGCGTCTCCGCGACGTTTCATGTCTCAGCATTGCGCGGCTCGCCTCCTATCGCAGCCCGCTAAGACGTATCATATCCTAGCTCGCTCGCCAATCGCGAGTTTATCGTAAGATCAGACTGTTTTAGCATGTGGAGTTGAGCGCTTGATAGAATCTCTCAGCTTGCTCATAATACATAATACACCGTTTGCACTATGAAGCTATATTGATGATTAACATTTGAGGGCGTAAACTATTATCATTTTACGTATAACTATAGTCAGAAAATACACTTCATGATTACTCGCAGCGTCACATAGCGATTATAGACTGTCTAGCCGAGGTATATATCTCAGGGGTAAATGATCATTAAAAACAGTAAGCAGTAACTATTACCTGGAGAGTTCCTAAAGTCCAGGGCTCCTGTATATATGTAACTACGATCTTCTCAATGGCTTAAGTAGCCTTAAATTGATACTCAAGACTTAGATATAGCACCAGTCCAGCGCTTCGTCCATATCCGACCGAGAAGATCGAGATGAACGCGATAAGGAAATATCCCAATTATTATTTAACCTAGATTCGCCCCGATAATAAGATGGACTAGACTCTTCAATGCACCTACTAAGCTTCGAGCTTAGTTGCGGGAATGTAAAGTCATAAAGGATGAGTGTTCCAATGAAATAACAAAAATATAGGGGGTTCTACCCCTTTCTCGAACCCACATACTCTTTATGGAAAGCTATTGTATAATATGCGTCAGCCCTACCTAGTGTAAAAAATACAACTTGGAAAAGGAAAAAGAAAATATTGACTAGTATGGACTCACCACCAGGAATTAGCGCCGCGGCGTACATGACCAAATTAATCGGCCGCAAGTCTTCATCCGCCGCATTCAGGACCTTCCCTTCCCAAGCATCTAGCACTGCCTCAGCAGCTATATGTAACGGTTGGGCCGGGTCGTCAACGTAGCATTTAATCCCAAGGCAGCCGCCAAATTCGCGAAACGCAAGCCGATACGAATGCTTCTCGTCGACGCTGACGGGGCTCTGGGCTGCGGGCAGGAAGCGGTTACGCGCGATGGTGAGGCCCTGCTTGGCTAGATCGCGTGCCCACGTTGCTTCTTTGTCAAAGTGGCTGATCCATAGGCTCATCCCTAGATCAAGCGGGTCCCCTGATAGAGATTTGGGATGGCTGGCCATGATACGACGGTAGTGTTCGATTTCTGCATCCAGCGTCGATGAGCTCGGGCTATCGGTAGCATTCCTTTTATTGAAGTGCTCGGCTGTGTCTTGTAATAACTGGTACACTACAAGTCCGTCTACATCGTCGAGGTTCCCCTTACTGCTGACTAGCACGTAGCGCATATCCATCGATATCTTCCACACCATGCTCTCTTGATCACCTCTCTCGGTCATAAAATGCGGATGGATGGCCCTGGCTAGCTGCACCGCGAGATCATTCCAATATGGTTCTTCTGTCGCCAGGGCTAGCCGGTTCAGCGCGAACATCCAGAGGGTCAAATAGTGATGATATTGGCCGTCGCCATCGGGACCCTCGGCGTCGAGCTTCCCGATACGTAAGCCACCTTTCAAATATTCCTCGTCGGTCGCGCCGTGGAGGCGTGAAGTCCCATCCCGTGTGCGACCGAGAACAGAGTGAACTTTATCCGCCAGCCGCCTGGCTAGTCCTAAGTAGAGTTTCTTTGAGTGGATGCAGTCCTTCTCATGGGATAGGGTGATAAAGTTAATAACCCCAAAGGCGTCGGTCCAGAGGTATCGCCCATGATGTCCCCCAGCTCCGGGTTTCGCAGGAGGCTGCCATGATGTAGGGTCGGGCGTATCTGTAGGATAAGGCCCGTAGACCTTGTGCATGGCATCCTCGAAGAGGGCTAATTTCTTAGCTTTGGAGCCAATTTCGTTAGACGTATTATACAGCGCCATTAAGGATGTTCTACGAAATGCCAAGGAGAAGAATGAACGTAATCTGAGTCGCTTTAGGAGACACCGTACACGACTGTAACCAACTCCCTGAGGGGGAAACATAAATGTTGAAGGTTAAAACATAGAAGCAATGATATTATCTGTAGTAAAATCTAACTCCCGGTCCCTAAGATCCTTAAGTCGCCCTTTGTTTGGTTACTCGAGTAAAAGGGGTGGAGAAAAGGTTTGTTGCCGCAAGTGACGCAACGATTACGATCTGGTAGGCAATAGCCGTATAATCCTACCTTACACCCTTAATTTCATATGGTGACGCTACTTACAGATTGCGATGACAACCCATCCAAACCTACCGATTAATTTTAATACTACCATAACAGGTACCATAACAGGCGGCTCTATGCTCGACTGTATTCGCAGGAGTCTCGCCCTTTCCACGACTATAACAACAAATTATAATTAAGGAACGATGAATACAATCAGTTTCCGAAGAGTTTCCTTTGGATCCAACTATAATAAGATATTTTATTCTGTCGCAAGAGAGAAATGCTAAGAGATACGTGTCGTACCTTCATAGATTACATTTTGCTAGCGGTTCAACTTTTTTGTTTGTCACAATTAGTGACAAGACTGAAGAATTGCAAGTATGATAACAATCTGTTGTCCATAATTTTGCCGGAAACTACGTCGTTATTCGTAGTAGGTGTTAGATATACGTAGCAATTATTCAAGGATTTATTACTCCTATGTAATTGACCAAAGTTCAAGTCTTTGTTTATAGCAGCAGCTTTGTTCTATGAATAATATCTCTGTCACTTTTCGTCTATGTGAACTATTATAGGATACTAATATAATAATATAATATTTAAATCAAGCAAATTTCCCAGTGGTTCTGATAATTAATCCGGAAGATACATCATCCACTCATTCATCACGATCAATACTAATTTCGCCTACCATGATTTTTCCTAATGAATCTAATTGCGGCTTCCCCAGCTGGTCAACTGAGATCATCCAGAAAGTAGCAAGCAATTTCACTACACCATCTCAATTGCTTAACTACGCCTGCATATGCAAGCGTGTGAACTCCGCGATCGGGCTCAGGGAATATTTAATTAATGATATTCAATGCCTTCAGACCAACAGAAGTCGGTGTATTAAGTTTGCTTGGACTCATACTATCTACTCCGATTTACGATTACAGCATTCATATGCATACACTCAAAGTAATCATCCCTACAAGCTCGGCAATCAAGATGTATTTAAACGTCCGTTTTTTCAAATGAAGTCCCCAGGGTCATATGTACCCCTTCTTAACTGGGCAATTGAGACAGGCGTGGATATTAATTTGATCGAACGCATCATGGATACTTACTCGAGGGTTTACCCTGGTGCGCTCAAGGGCCTGTGGTATCCTATGCATTGCGAGAGATCAATTCTTGATGGGGTCCGTATAACCAGAGATTTCCCTTCACCCATGCTTGTAGCTGCTAAATCAGGACGACTTGACGTAATAAAGGCACTCATCGCATACGGTGTTGAAATTAGAGAACGGAACGCCATCGAGCATATTGGTCAATATGATATGAAAGATACACTTAAAGAAGTGGTGGATCACGCGCGGGTAGAAGCAGAAATCGATGCATTTTCCCTTGCCTGTGAAGCCGATGAAGAGATCGCAGAATTCATGATTCGAAATGGGCTTGATCTAAGATGTAGAGATCTATGGTGGCCTGTCGAATTTGGACGCATGCAGATTCTTGAGACCCTTTTGCGACGTCCGCTTTTCAAAACCAACGAGGGCCATGTAGCCATCAAAGCCGTGCTTCGTTGTATTGTTTCTGACTGCAATAGCTATCCTATCAGGGATTTTGGCGTTATCAATCCCCTTCTTGATGCTATGACCAATCCATCCTTTCCACCCTTCGATAAAATAGGCTGGCTTGAAAAATCAACCGCTATGGTCCTATCAAATTCGGGGGGTCGTTACGCAGATGCGCTGGGCTTCTATCTATTTGACCTCTTTAAAACCTCAGGAATTCAGTCGATTATCAGCTTCAAAATTGCTGTACGGGCTGCTGGCAGCGACAATTTCCTGGAAATCACAAAAGCTATGCTTTTAGAGGTCGAGCATTCTAAAAAAGCTGAAGAAAGCAAGGAATTACCCATGATAGATTATATACTAAGAAGGGTCTCGGCGGGCTTTTGTACTCGTACTGCAATGTGTTTCCTTAACTTCGGGTATAAGTTTTCTAGTATTCGCCTCCAGGAAGCTGTCATAAGTACTAAATTCACTGCTCCTTGCGATAGCAGGACATATACCGATCAACTTGATTTGATTGACATTCTTGTCAACTCTGGTATTTCTGTTAACTTGATAATAGATCCTAAAATAGTGTCCTGGCATAAGGATGAGACCCTGTTAGAGCTAGCACTAGACATTTCGGAGTTGAGATGGACTAGAGATAGTCGAAAGGGACTAGACTGCCGTGTGGCACTTAGACTATTGCACCACGGCGCCGATCCCACAAAAGTCAGAGACAAAACAATACAAAGATGGCTTACAAAAGTTTATCAGGATCAGTCCCTAACGGATTATTTCCTCGACGAGATGTCACATCAAAATGATTCCACGAATATAGGGCGTGAGATATTTTCTCAGAAAATCCCAAGTGTAGATTCTCCTCTGTATTTCGACCAGGTCTATAACATGGCGGTGATGGTTCTCGGCAAGGTATCTCTCGAAATTTGCTTTAGAGATGTGGTAAAAAAAGAGGAACGGAAAAAAAGAATATGGACCGGCAGAGTAAATGGGTTCCGAGGTTCTCCTATGGCGCCGCCTGAATGGCTTAAGACATCATCTCCTACTTATTAGCACTGGCTATTTCGCCTCGTGCCTAGAGGACACTGTGCTTTAATTAAGAAAGTAGGTAGTAATTAAGGGCTATTCCGAGGCTTTAAAGGCCAATGAAAGGTTATAAATTTTTGAAAATACCTGAAATGTGTAAAAAGCGTATATGTCGGCAAGCATTTCGGGTCGATCATTAATTACTGCCCGTCTTATTAATAGGCATGAGGCGAATAGCCCGTTGCTAATAGCGGTTTCTTATATAAGAGGATTAAGAGACTAATAAGAGCTAAAGTAAATTGTTTGCATTTTGTAAAACACCTAGTGTCAGATAAGTAGGCACAAAAGCTAAATGTATGCGAATAGTTGGCGTAAAAATATATGATGTAAACTCCGATGCTAATTCTGTGACATTTATATGAGATATCCTATCCTTATGCTCCATCCGGTTTCCAATCAGGTGGTGCAAGTTCTACGCCATCTGGGACGAAACCTGGGGCCACTATCATACCGCAATTAGTTATGGAGTTCATTAACAGAGGTAACTAGTATATAAGGAAGTTTGATGTTCTTACCGGTAGTGCCAACTAGAGTCCACTTCCCACTTGAAAGGGCACTTTGCCATGTCCCTTTCGGAATGACTACCTGCGGCTGCTCGTTGTTGAAGACATCTGGTCCAAGCACCTTGTCCACCGGGGGCTTGCCGTCGTTGTTTGATAGCGACAAAGTCAGCGGTGCGCCTGCATAGTAGTGCCAAACTTCGACAGCGTCGACACGGTGCCAGTAAGACGACCCCACCGCGCCTTCGAGCAGATAGTAAATGGCGGTGCTGGCAGACCGAGTGCTATTGCCTGAGCTTCTTGTAACCGAGTCGGCATCCTCAAAGGTCTGTACATAATAGCCTTTCTCGTCATTGGGGATGAGCTTGAGTTGTGCAATGACCTCCTGAGCGCTGCGCTGATTTATGGGGGTTGATGAGTCGTATTGCACACTGGCAGTGCGAGCCCCTATCGCGCTTACAAGCAACAAGCCCAGTGGGCTGAGGAGTCCCGAAGTAAGAAGCATGATCCGATATTGCCGTGACTAGAGACGTGGGATGTGCAATAGAAGGTAAACAGGAGGTCAACGGGGATGGCGGATGAGAAGGGCAAGATGATATAAGTTTTGATTAGTAATAATATGGGCTCATAATTAAAATGAAGACGACCATGATGCTGACAACGACCGTGCGCTAAGGATCGCCAATGCTCCTATTGGATATATATACGCCATACGGCAGCTGCTTATGGGGATTTATTTAGTAGTCTAACCTAGTCTGTTATAGAAACTGGGGAATACTGGTAGGCTACATAGGTTAGAGCCGCGGAACACACCATGAGTTTGACTATAAATACAGGAGAGCGCTTACAAGCAATTGATCATATTATTCATACAAGTTAGATATGTACCGCAATGAATTAAATTTGTCTCGTCTTTATTGCTCTCCATAACCGCCACGGGAGCTTCCAGCTGCTGCTCACTGTAAATGGATCGAAGTTCTGGGCTTCAAGCCGCGTCAGGTAATCACTAGCTGGGATACCTTCTAGCATGACGTTGAATCCTCGTTGGAGATCTCGTTTAGTATCATCGTCTCCGTGAGTCGCTAACGGATATTCGTGTCGCTCTTCGCCGTGGTGTTCGTATTCGTGGCCGGGGCTTTGCCCTGCGCGGAGGTTTTTCAACATCTCTCTTGCAGTGATTAAGTGATCATTAGCCCGGGTCGCGACTTTGAAGACGGCATCTTGGAAACCATCCGCACGAGGGCCATGTCGGTAGACATCTTCCTCTTTTAGACCCGTCTCCGCCATGACATCTAGCGGTAGTAATAGGACTGGGTTCCTACCACTGCCTACACTAGCTCCATAGGGTGATTTAACAGGCGGCGAGGGGGCTGCTAAAACCGGGACACCTCGAAGGATAGCCACAATACCACATGCTTTCCCAATATGACTAGCTAAATGGTCCATATGCATGGAATTGATAGAGAGTGCTGCTAGATTTGAATACATGAGGGTTGAGTATGTATTCTCTGCGTACTCCTCTAATGAAGCTAGACTGGTGAACGGTTTGTTATCCATATACTGTTCCCGAGTATTGATCAGGCGCAGTAACCAGAACTTGATAGAGCTTGGCATGCCGCCCATCTCAGTGAGCTCCGAGATAACCTTATGCAGTAAGATCATAATGGGTTCTTTTGGAGGCTTGCCGGCAAATGTGTTTTTAACAGCATCCCGCCAGAATTGCATCCTCATTAGACCAATGGTGGGGTTTGATACAAGCTCCGGAAGCCGAACCAGCTCAAGATTAAAAGCTCGTAACGCATCATAAGCATCCTGTCTCTGTTTAGGCAGAATATTTCGAATTAAATAAGAATCGTAGTCGGACTGTCTATTACAATTAGCGCCATTCATCTAAAACATTCTGCCAGAGAGAGAGAGAGAGAGAGAGAGAGAGCGCCAAAAATCCTACCTCAGCTGTGCGACACAATATTGCCTTGCCTTATCTACATCGACATCGGTTACATAAGATCTTTGTGAGAATCGTAACTGATGTCTAGGCCATCGAAGGCCTGGGCGTGCTCGAGCCGCACGATACATAAGAAACCGATGTTATATCAAACAATCCATCGTATTATAAGTTCGAGTCGCGAAGTAAAAATCCTCGCTATGTTAATTTATTCCGAAGTTAGCGACTTTGATTCGGCATAAAAATGATATCATGCTGCGGGATGTGGGGGACTTCCCACTTTTAACTTTAAATTAAGACGCGGTCACATGATGATCGCGTTGAAAGAGTCGCGTCTTGATCTATTAATTACTAATTGGAAAGTTTTTGGCGGAGCGCGTTTCTGTGCTTGCCGTGGTACGTTAGGTACCTCCTACCTACAGAGTACCTAAAGTTATAGTGCTACTTTCACTATTCGATCTTTTGTTACCAGTAACATCCGCTTGTTCTCCACTAGCTGGCATTCTCCCTTACCCATCGAATTTTCTCCGTTGCATCCCCTTTGTCAACCGACTATTTATACGCATGATTCACTACGCACGACTTACGGCTATTCCAATGAGCTTATCATGAGTATAGAAGATTCGGGAGAACCCCCCGCTAAAAAGAGGAGGTTTTTCACAGATCCAGAGGACGAGTGTAGTTCAAGTCGACACTACCTACACAATACGTCTCCTCTCGTAGAGAAGACTATCGACGATGTTACCAATCGGGTATCGACAACGAGCGCCTCTGGCGAGTATTCGCTAGAGCCTACCTCTGCAACGGATCAAGGAATGAACTTTGACGAGAACACGTTCCAAAGCATTGTAGGAGATAATGTTGACCCAGAAGCGCTAAAAACTATTGGCGAAAACTGCGGGAATGACCTTGGACGGGCTGTTAATATGTATTTCGATGGGACATGGAAGAAATATCGCTCTCGACAACCCGTTTTCCTGCCGAGGAGTTCTTCGGCCATTGTAACCGATAATTCTAAGGAACCTGACCCCCTGCCGGCACGACCCCGACTGTCGCAATCAATGCCTAATAGTCGCTATATTGGTGCATTTGGTGTTGAAGGATGGGCTACTCGAAGCGGAACAAACCTACTAAATCACGGAGATGTCGTTAAGATCGAGCGCCAGAAGATTCAGCCACCAGGCGCATCACTTAAAGCAAAGAACAAGGGGAACTCACCTCTACCGATTCGAGTAAACTCTGCTGCTGCTAGACGCGTCGACGTTATCGTGCGATTCACCGATTCTCGAGGGACGGAAATTGGACGGCTGGCTAAAGACACGGCAAACTGGATATCTTCGCTGATGGATCAGAAAGTCTGTAGGTTTGAAGGTAGTTGTGTGTATGCACCAGAGAGACTAAGAACAAATGACACCGTATTCCTCCAATTACGGTGCTTCTTAATGAGGTCCGCCTTCCAGAACACGGGATTTCAGATGTCAGACAACCGCTCAACAGGTCTTTTTGAGGAAAAGGAAACTCATGAGGAGCGGGACTTACGCTTACGACAAGTAGCGCTCGTACGGTTGTTTCAGGAGATCAACCTCGCGCCGTCAAGAGGCAATGCAGCCGCAGCCAGAAGTGCGCGACAAGATCTTCTTGGTGCTGCTGAGATTGCTGAAAAAAAGAGTAACGATGTATCCAAATCTACAAATCCTGGTTCATCACCACCATCGGAAGATGCCGAAGATGGCCAGGAACTCGAGCAAGATCAGCTTGATGCACTATACCGGAAAGCTCAGTCGTTTGATTTCAATACACCCGAGGCTGAACCAGCTGAATCCTTCGATATGACACTTCGTCCATATCAGAAACAGTCATTGTATTGGATGTTAGCGAAAGAGAAAGACCGGAAGAATGAGGTTCGTGGGGCATCAATGCACCCTCTCTGGGAAGAGTACTCTTGGCCTACTAAGGATGTCGACGATCAAGAAGTTACTCAAGTTGATGGCCAACCTAATTTCTACATGAACCCGTACTCGGGTGAGATGTCATTAGACTTTCCTGCCCAAGAGCAACACTGCTTGGGTGGTATCCTTGCTGATGAAATGGGTCTCGGTAAGACGATTCAAATGCTAAGTCTCATCCACTCGCACAAGTCCGAAGCAGCAATACAAAGTGCGGACACATCCCTCAGTTCTGTTAATGGCTTACGGAAACTTTCTTCTAAATCTGGCATCGTTTCAGCACCAAAGACTACCCTTGTTATTGCTCCGATGTCACTACTTGCACAGTGGCAAAGTGAAGCAGAAAATGCATCCAAGGAGGGTACCCTAAAGTCTATTGTCTATTATGGCACCGAAAAGATTGATAATCTCCAAGCCCTCTGCTGTGATACTAATATCACCTCTGCCCCTGATATCGTAATTACGAGCTACGGTGTAGTTCTTTCCGAGTTTACTCAAATTGCTTCCAAGACAAGCAATAGAGACTCACACAATGGTCTGTTCTCGTTGGACTTTTTCCGGATTATCCTTGACGAAGCCCATACCATCAAAAACCGCCAGTCGAAGACTTCAAAAGCATGCTATGAACTTTCAGCTACGCACCGTTGGGCTCTCACAGGAACTCCCATCGTAAATCGTTTAGAGGACCTGTTCAGTTTAGTCAGGTTTCTTAGAGTTGAGCCATGGAATAACTTTTCGTACTGGCGAACGTTTATCACCGTTCCATTCGAGTCTAAAGATTTCGTGCGTGCCCTCGATGTGGTGCAAACAGTATTAGAACCCTTAGTGATGAGGAGAACGAAAGACATGAAAACGCCCGAGGGACAACCGTGAGTTACGATATGTCCATTATATTCAAGGATTATGGTACTAATTTTATTTAGTCTTGTCCCCCTGCCCCCGAAGTCAATGGAAATTGTTGAGGTTGAACTCTCGAAGGCTGAGCGGGATATATACGATTACGTATTCACTAGAGCCCAACGTACATTCTCCGCCAACTTCGAAAAAGGTACGGTCATGAAGGCCTACACCACTATCTTTGCTCAGATCCTCCGTCTGCGCCAAACATGCTGCCACCCAACCCTGGTTAGGAACCAAGATATCATCACCGAAGAGGAAGCCGCCGGGGCGGAAGCCGATGCAGCCGCAGGTCTCAGCGACGATATGGACCTTCAGTCCCTAATAGAGAGATTCACAGCGACTACCGGCGACGAGAAAGATGCAAATGCTTTTGGTGCCCATGTCCTTCAGCAAATTCGAGATGAAGCAGTAAACGAATGTCCTATCTGCTCAGAGGAGCCGATGATTGATCAGACGGTTACCGGCTGCTGGCATTCTGCTTGTAAGAAATGCCTGTTGGATTTCATAAAACATAATACGGATCGCCACCAAGTTCCAAAATGCTTTAATTGTCGCGAGCCTATCAACAGTCGTGATCTATTCGAAGTGGTTCGGCAGGATGATGACCCGGAAACGATACAGGCCTCGTCCAAGATTAGCTTACAGCGCTTAGGGTTAAATGAGTCCTCGTCAAAAATTGTCTCGTTAATGCAGCACCTACGTCAATTACGCAAGGAGCACCCGCGTATAAAATCAGTCGTCTTCAGCCAGTTTACATCCTTCATGTCACTCATCGAGCCCGCACTCACGAAAGCTAATATGCGATTCCTCCGTCTCGACGGTTCCACCAACCAAAAGACCCGCTCCACCATCCTGAATGAATTTAAGGAGTCCAACAAGTTCACCATCCTACTTTTAAGCTTGCGGGCTGGTGGTGTGGGACTGAATCTGACCCAGGCGAAGCGTGTCTTCATGATGGACCCTTGGTGGAGCTTCGCCGTGGAGGCCCAAGCCATCGATCGTGTGCACAGGATGGGCCAAGACGAGGAAGTTAAGGTCTATCGGTTCATCGTCAAAGACAGCGTCGAGGAGCGGATGTTAAAGGTCCAAGATAGGAAGAAGTTTATGTGAGTACTCATCATTTTCTCATTTATTATTATCCGATGGGCGTAATCTATGTTACTAACGTGTTGCTATTCTAGTGCTACTTCATTGGGCATGATGAGTGATGAAGAAAAGAGACTCCAAAGAGTCGAGGATATCAAGGAATTGTTAAGCTAGTCTGGATACTGTGAGCTATGAAGGATAGGTTAAGTCGATTACTTCTCACCCTATATATAAAGTAGGCATATTTAGCATGCTCTTTGGTAAGAACGGACGAGCAATCAGTTCGGGGTGGCATTCTGGCTTTTGGACTTCGGCTATAGACAGCATTAACTTAGGATCCTCCCCCCACATGTTAAAAGACATTCAAGAGCTGGAGAACTCAAGTAGCACAACACTTGGAATAATGATATAAATGTGCAAACACGACAGCCGACTTGAAGCGTTATCGGCTTTGGTTACCAAAGCACATATAGTTCTATCTACACCCATGTCCTAAATTTGTCCTTGTCATTATTCCGTAGTTCTATTGACATTCAAAGGCTCCAACTCCAATCTTTGCCGGTTAACCAAGTCGCTTCCAGATCTGATAGTTTTTGATAAATCGACGGTATTGTAATTATACATAGGTACATAACTCGTCGCTACAACGAAAAGTAGCAGCTCATACATCGTAACTCGTATCTCAGCTCACGTAGCAACTACAGGTTAGGTATATGTTTCGCTGGAGAGAAAATACCCAGGTGCGCATGTTGGGTAGCATCTATATAAATTACGACCCCGAGGACTGCCTCTCCGCTGTACTACTAACATCGCTCAGGTCCTCGACGTTGCGGTCGAGGGATAGCTTCTCGTACTCTCTTAATAGATAATCCAACGTGTTTTTGCTGGGGTTGGTGCCCCCGGTATCGCGCGTCATGATGGGAGCGACCCACTGGGCCTGGATGTACTGCATCATCAGGGGCATCTCGTCGTCGGCGGGCCCCTGGGCGGAGAAGAGATGGGTGCGCATGAGGTCGAGGTCGTTGACCTTCATGCGGTCGCGCAGGAGCCGGTATACGAGAACGGCGATGTGGTAGTTGTGTCCTTGGTCGTAGAGCCCCTTGGCGCAGAGGATTAGGGTTGACCGCAGGGACTCGAGGCTGACGGGGGGCGAGAGCGCGGCTATGGCTGGGGGGGCGACGATGCCGGATTTGTCTATCTTTTGCAGCGTCGTGTCGCCCAGGAACATTAGCCAGTGCATTAGGAGAGGGTCGTACGACTCGAAGCTGTGTCGTAGGTAGTACAAGCGTAGAAGCGTCTCGAGGCGTACTTCTGCGTGCGTGATGATGTTGTACCAGGTTAGGTCTAATGTGTAGCCGGATCCTGCTAAGAACCGGACAAGAGTGATGATCGTGCCGTAGTATTCCATACTGAGAATTACATGGTTAGAAAGTCATATGGTATATACGTGTGATAGGCCCGTAGAAAGGTCATAATGGTATGAGGGTGCAGGGTCGAACTTACTGGATTTTGATATGATCCGGAAGCACTATCTTCGTAGGCGAGAGGATGTCTGGGAGGTTGACGAACCAGTTATCCAGCATAGACTTGCACTCCAGCGCCTTCGAGACGTCAATACGAGGCGGCTTTCCATCCTCAAATAGATCCAAAGACATTTCATTCATCAAGTGCCGCAACTCGAAATTCGCCTTGATGACGTGGCCCATGTTGACTGAATACAGCCTATGGCTCATTGGATAGCGAATCCAGGTCTCGCCGTAGAATTTGGAGTCGACCTCGGGGTCCGGTAGCGGGTATTCGGGGGCTTTTTTGAGATGAGGCGGTGCGGCAAAGTAGAAGCGCTGCCAGCTATGTGCTGTCTGTTAGTAGGGAATGACGCGTGGAGGGATTTTTCGTTTTACATACGCTTGCCAGGTATAGATCCCCCACGCCGTGAGAGCTCGTACTCTTCGCAGCGACTCGTCGTTTGTACCCGCGTGGGGACTGAACAGGTCCATTTCCTCCGCCATAGCCATAGCTTGCAGTAAATACGAAGTGCCAACCTTATCCATAGCCGTAGTGAGAGCTACGATGCCGAGTATTATAGCGGCCTGAATTGTTGGTAGACTACCGGTATTCCTTTGGCACTCGAGCTCCCAGAGCCTTTTCGCTTCGGCTAGGAACTGGTAACCGAGAGTTTGCGGAACCCAAAACTTGGTACGGTCGGGGACCTCGCGACACATGTGCTAAAGAGTGTCAGTTGGCGGTATCAGATATGGGCCTGTCTACTAGACTTACACATGCAGCAGCGAGCACGGAGTTGACCAGCAGGGACGAGCAGAAGCGGACCCGTCCCGAAGCCATGTCTTTGATGAAGTAATCCATATGGAAAGCTCCCGTCCAAGGGTGCTGGTAGTATAGGTAGGAATTAAGGAGTCTTCTTAACAGGTGATTATCCGACGTTACGTTAGTCCACTTTGAGACATTCACGTCGTCGAAGTTAGGCTCGACGACCTGAGCCGCATGGTAGGGCATGAGGTACCGCTCATCTCCGTACCCTTCACGTTGCGATTCACGTTCAAAGCCATGAGAAGGAGGAGCACGGAACGTGGTCTCATAGACGAAGGAGCGTAGGTAGAGATTGTCCGACACCAGGATGGAGGGAGGCATGTCGTGTATATAGGGGAATTCGTATCGGCGGCGAGCCTCAGGGGCTAGCGAGAGCTGAATTAGGAGATCTCCATCCCTTGCGTGACGTAGAATAGAACCGACATCATTACCAGACCGGATTCTCCGGAGGATCTCGAGAGATTCGGTTTCGGTTTTTTTCTGGAGCAGGCCGAATAATTCCTCGTACGGGGTTATCCGGTTCTGCAGTTCACTATGTTTTCGCTTTAGGGCCTGGGAGTGAGTCTCTGCCGGAGCTGTGGCGTATCGACAGTCGGTACCATGTCTCACGCAGAGGCTACACTTTGGGCGCTCAGCGTTACACTGCGTGCAAGGGGTTGTCAGCCGTCAGCCGTCAGTCGTGATCGTGATCGTGATCGTGATACATTACACCAGATTTTGGGAAACTGTTTTTTGGTGTAATGAGATATATTTCAAGAGTCTTGAGTCTTGAAGAAGACACTTTCTTACTTTTGACTTCCTCCTCCTACACGACTCACACGCGGCCGTAACCTGTCTTCTCCCTTTGGAGCCGGCGCCCGCGGAGGCACCTTGTCCCGAACCACCTGCCGGAGCCGGTGCAAGTGGAACAAGACGGCGTTTTCTAGAGCCAGAACCGTCTGGGTTTTCACGTTCCATGACTGGAGGGGGAATTCCCCGGTAGGTTGGTACAAAAAGCGCCACCGAAGAAGCAACTTGTTTGGTGACGCGACTTACGAGTGTCACCAGCCCTCCACCAAAATGTTATCTGCGGAGTTTTTTCCGGCCATCTGTTCATGTTGCAGGGGGACTCACACACGATGAGAATATGTACCTCTCCAGCAAGAATTACTCGGCGAGATACATCTTAAGGCAGGCTAGGGGGCCAGACATACATAGCCCCTGCACGACTGAGTCCCCTGGGATGATAGCCTAGCCACTTTAGGGATAGACTGTTACCAAGTCTCCACAAACTAGGTACCGTTCTTTTCGAATTAGTTCGTTGTGTAACATAGACTTGTTTGACATGAACGCCTATATTATTACGAGATTCCAAGGTTTCCAAAGCTGCTCGTAGCTGGAAGAGTTAGGGATTTATCGTATATTGATAGTCGACTTAATTATTAAAAGAAAGCTAAACTTAGATTTAATAGATTAAAGTTGTTTTAGTAGGCTTGTTTCAAGATTCCGACTCTTATATCCAATCATTCTCAAGGAAACCGCTCAAAACGGTATAAAGTGGGTCGACGTAACGGTTTGAATATAGCCTCAACATAATCCGTAAATCTCTAGCAATCAGATAAAAGGAAAGAAGCTATGTTACAAAGTAGCAACAAAACAGAAAGACTCAAGTATGAGTTTAGTTATCTGTGAAGCTTTAACAGTATTATAGATAATATACTTTAATCAACTTAACTATAGCAAACACGCGAACTGGATTCAACAAACCTACTATTATATTTTATCCAATCCAAATCTTTTCTCGAGATATATTTCTCTTGGATCATACAACATATTTATTACTAAAATTGACTTGGCTGTTCGCTGTAAAGGTAATGTTAAATTTCTATTTGGCGAAGTCATACAAGACAACACCATACTGATTATAATTTTTAAGAATTTAGCATGAAGAGAGTGAGAGAGGGAGGGAGCGTAATCCTGCATTCATCAACTTCTTGAATCTTCTATGGTTTAGTCTAAGTTGGAGTATTTCTTAGTATCGCATCATCCGCACCGTTGAAAAGGGGGATGCATGTGTTTCATTATCATATCCTTTAATTTAGACACGCTTTCAAGGTTAAGCTATGAACATAGCTGACATATACTAACTCTCTTCTAATTAATATAGAGAAAAAATAATGATAGTTCGACTGTCAACTGCGTATCGTTGCTGTCGCGGAGTCGTAATAGCTTGAAAGTGGGAGAAATGCCCAAATTACTAGAATTTTAACTGGGAAATATAACAATATATTATTCTATAGAGCATCAATATTGATCCGTTCATAAGCTGTTATTGCATACTTCTTATACAGCTACACTTTTCAAACTTAAAAGGTGAAGGGAGAAACAGCACCACACGTCGAGCTCCATCGTGATTGATCTTGGAGATATGTTCTTATTTCCATATGTTAGTATTTATCCCTTTAAAATGCCCCATATATCATAGAGAGTATTTTTTTGATCGAGATGCATGATTAGTTTTTGTCTAGACTAATTCCACCTCATTCTACGGCTTATCATTGCCTACGCTCCCCGTTTTCTTCATGTTTTCACAAGCTTATAAGGCACAGAAACTAGAGGTCAATTATACACTCCAGCTAGTCTAGCCCCGACTAAAAAGATTGTGCTATGTAGAGCATTGCATCCACATGAAGTACATAGGGGTTAGGAGTCAGAAGAAACCGGCTTAAATAACTACGAGATCAAGCTTAGGTGGTTGGCATCGAATATCAATCTGTGAATAATGGTGCTACCTCAGGTACCTCAGGCAATTAACTGTTATTGCATCCTTGATGTTGTAATTGCTGTAATAAAATATCAACATCCCCATGGATAGCCGCAGCTTAGAGGGCAATAAATTATAAATTTATCGTAACGATAGTAGCATTATTTGACAACTTTTATCAAACACTAGGGGATCGAAGCGTTAGGAGAAATGCTGATATTGTCATCAATCAACCCATTCTATAAAAACACAACTGTTATATTACAACGGGTGTCAAGAGGTTAGAACCTATAAACCATTAATTTCTATTTGGTGCCCATGTAAGTGCCTGAATATGTTAGCTGCGATTTTGATACCACACTACTCCTATCTTTCATATGAACCGTACCTACTAGCAATACTAAGGCTAGAAGCCCAGCCTCTTATCTCACGTTCCTCTTACGACATTAGGAAGGCAAATCGAGAAGTCGCTTTAGTAACCCGAGAATAAACCAGTAGGTGTCCTCTAGAACCTCTGAAGTTTTTTCCGCCAAGCAGGTTCGTTCGCTTTACAAGCCCGATCTCCAAAAGCAGGCGCATACTTAACGATCTTGAGAGCTTCCTAGATAAGCTAGTCAATTGACCTGACAAAGTACAGGCAGTTTCCTGAATCGGGATTCCAGACCCCGGAGGCGGAGAGGCGATTGGTCGGTGATACCCCCGGCTTTTTGACGCCGACGGAACCCGTATCCTACAAGATCGGCGTGGAATACCTAGGCTAACTGTAGTCTGGCGTTAAGGTGGCTGCATACCGAACATATCTGTTGGGACTGCTACCGCTACCTGACTAGTAAGGCAGGTTGGGCTCTTTGCACGCCTCGTTCTGGAGGCTGAATGATCGTCGACGATCGAAATACCGATGGATAACATACACATGTCAGCACTATTAGTACACATTCAGGTATTCCAAGAGGGGAATTCGGCCCTTTCTTATTATCTGATTCTTAAGAGTCTCTTGCATCATTGATAGCGACCACTTGCTAGCCGCCAGATCGCGACCTAGGCCGTAAGACCTCATTAATACGAATACACGTAGGGATGGCGTGCGTGCAGCATGCGACGGTATAGTCGTTCGTATTCTCGGCCTTGTAGGTATCTCTCATCTCCAACCCCCTCTCTTATCCACCCATCCGGCTTCGATATCGATCTTGTCAACGAAGGAAAATGGTCACGCAGCTACGAAGCAAAGAGCCGCCAAGAGCCTCCATCGAGCGTGGGGACGAGCGGCAATCCTCCTGCCTCTCTCGGCAATTGATAGGCATCGCGGCAAAGGGCCAACCTTATAAATCCTCGAGCATTCTATACTATATAACTAAAAGACGGCTGCGGATTGGACGAGCTATGGACATGGGTATGGGCTGGGCGAACAGGGACGCTTTCCCAGCAACCGCGATTCTTTTGACCGTCTATCAGATGGTGGTGTAATTGGGTGCCAAGGTCTAGGCGCAGGTCAAAATGCCGGGGGATAGTCCAGACTTCGACTCATGCCGCGCTGCTCTACAAATTAAATCGTCCACCCACCTACCTCTTTGGGTAGATTGGGATACTACGACAGTATCTACGCTCATGATGCCATCTCCCCAAGGCTAACACCCTCGTCGATATGTGGTCGAGCGTATTGGCAACTACGGCTTCTCGATCCGAGCTACCTTATCGCGGCAGCCTTTGTGGATGAATACTTAAGGACTGCCAGGGCGGAGTCAGCTTTGAAAGCAGCCCCCCTTCTTCTCCGTCTTCATCGCTCCGATACAAGTCGAGAGGATCTGTAATCGTAGTGCAAATCTGGGGAAACAGACGTCAAGCAGGATGAAGTACTCTCTGAACGCAGTCGCCCTTGCGGCGCTCTCTAGCTTCGCGGCGGCAAAGGAGCTACCGCCCGACGAGAAGCTGGCGGCCGAGATCTTCGACAGCGGTCTTCGACATGAGCACATCATGTCGACTAAGATGGTACGGAAAACATACATAATTACGTCGACCATGTCGGTTATGCTAACTAAGAACTCATAGGCGTACTGGGACAGCCGAAGAGAGCAAGGTCTTTTCGACTCCACCCAATACAAGAGCATGGACGCTGCCGTCGATGTGGTTCCCTGCGCGAACGGAATCGCTGAGCTCCAGGCCGGCGACCCGCTCTACACGTTCAAGTGCAGCAAGCTTGACCTGTACGACTTTCAGTCTCACGCCGACCTCGGCAGCAACGGCGGCGAGGGTGCCGGTTCGTGGGGTTGGACCAGCCCGGACGGCCGCGAATTCGTGGCTATCGCGCAGTCCGACGGTTCCGCATTCGCCGAGGTCAGCCCCGAGGGCAAGCTCATCTACCTCGGCCGACTACCGCAGTACTCGGCCGCCCAGCCGTCGCTATGGCGTGAGATCAAGGGCTACAAGAGCTACATCGTCATTGGTAGCGAGGCCAACAACCACGGTATCCAGGTCTTCGACATGGCTAAGCTCCTCGACATCGACCCTGCTAAGCCCGTCACCTTCAACAACGAGGATGACATCTCCCACTTCAACGGCCTTCCCTCTGGCCGTTCCCACACCGTCCAGACTAACGAGGAGGTCGGCTACGCTGTCGCCTCTGGCGCACAGCCGCGCAACTCTGCTTGCGCTTCCGGTCTCATCTTCATTGATCTGTCCGACCTGTCCAACTTGACTTCCCCCGGATGCGCCGCTGCTGACGGCTACGTGCACGATGCCCAGTGCCTGATCTACCGCGGTCCGGACGAGAAGTACGTGGGCGAGGATATCTGCTACGGATACAACGAGGACACCTTGACCATCTACAACGTGACGAGCAAGGCGAACCCGTCCATCATCTCGCGTACCTCCTACGAGGGCGCCAGCTACACCCACCAAGGTTGGGTTCTTGATACTCAGTGGCAGCAGTACCTCGTCCTAGACGACGAATACGACGAGTACGACCGCGCTGGTCTAGGCGAGCCTGGATACCCCATCACCTACATCTGGGATATCTCCTCGCTAGAGGCACCTAAGCAGACCGGTTACTACAAGGCGTCTCGCAAGGGAATCGACCACAACCAGTTCGTCAACGGCGACTTCGTGTACCAGAGCAACTACGGCGGTGGTCTCCACATCCTGGACATCTCGTCCATTCCCTCCGACCCTACCGGCAAGGGCGTCACCGAGGTCGCCTACTTCGACATCTACCCCGAGGACGACAACGAGGAGGGCGGTGGCCAGATCGAGTTCCAGGGCACTTGGTCTCACTACCCTTACTTCAAGAGCGGCTACATCTTGATCAACACGATCGAGCGTGGAGCCTACATCGTTAAGCTATCCTCGTAAGGAAGTAATTGTACTCATCTAATTTATGATGAAGTTAGGGGATACTTGGGTAATTGAGATGTCATAGCGATATAGACACGAATTGACAAAATACATAGCAACGCTAATGGTTCAATTAATGTTTGTGATAATACGTACGGTATCGTAGAATGTGAATTCCGCTTGGCTATGCCTAAGGTAGGCGTATTATTATGAATTAAGAATCACGTTTCGCTGGTTTCACAGTTACAGTCGAAGTCTTCTTCGCCTGCAGTATGTAATCGCCGCCGCGCCATGCTTTATACACACCATACAAGCCTTGGAACGGCCTAACATTGCGAAGAATGACCGGCATTCTTGAACCCTCCATGGCCTTCCTCTTAGCATCCTCGTTAACTTTAACTTTATCGTATACACTTGGTAAATGAGATGCATGATACCTCTCGCGCACATTATCATAAGCAGGCCGGTCGTAAGATTTCCAAAATTCCTCCTCGGTATAGTAGGCCTGGGCATACAGCGTCTTGTTACCACCTAGCTCGTGGACTTTTTGCTCGATTGCACGGTTAAGATGCACCAGCTTTTGGTAGTCACTAGGACCAGGTCCCCAAATACCAAAGTTAAGCATGAACTCCGGATAATTCGGGTTAGCAAAGTTCGCATGCAGTCCATGTGCCGCATCGGGCGTGTCGCGTCGCAGACGTAGCGGACACAGCCAGATTGGGTAGATGTTGAAAGTCTGGTCTACCCAGTTGAAGAATCCATCAGCGTCATCAAAAGGCACACCGACGTCTTGGATTATATAAGTATCCGACAGGCGGCTCTTGTGTAGAGCATGATACATCACGCGGGCGTGCATATACTTGTCTAACAAGTAGCGCGTTATTCGGTTGAAGGGCGTGAAGAAGTACTTGTAAGCATGTCTGGCCACCCAGAAGCCGCCGCGATCCCATCGAAACAGGTAATCAATTAGCGGGACGTAATCGACAACCGGTTTCTTCGCCTTCTCGGCCCTCTTCTGGACATCTAGGTAGAACCATGGATCCTGCCGGCGCAAGTATCGCCGGGGCTTGGAGCCTATGGGTATCGTATTGACCAGGCGACCGGAACAAACCACAGCTGACTTTGGCGAAAAGACAATAGCATCGACGAACTCCACAGTAGGGTTCGCAAGCTCCTCTTGTATCTTTTTGCGAGCATCCGGGAAGCTTGATGTGTGATAATGTGTCAACTCTACGAAGCCCTGGGCATCTCTCAGCTGGACCTCTAAGAGCGTGACGACCCCAACGGTTCCGAAGCCAGATGCTGCACCCCAGAAGAGGTCGGATTTCTCGGACTTGGATGCGCGCACGACTTCCCCGTCAGGCAAGACTATCTCAATCCAATTGATACTTGAATCGAAAGGTCCGTGACGGCATGAGCTACTCTCGCCGGCCGAGCCGCTGAACCCGCCGCCAACGGTAATACCCGGAAACTCCATAACCACGAGTGGGACTAACCCGGCGCTTCTGGTCGCGTCGAGAAGACTATCCATAGAGACATTAGGTTCTACCAGCGCCGTTTTGGTGGCATTGTCAACTCCCAGGACATGGTCAAGTTTGCTGGTGTCTACTGTGTTGTCGCTGTTCTTCTCTGAGGTACGAGTGCTGTTGGTAGAGCCATGATAGACTCGGAAGGGTTGGCGTTGCGCGTAGAACTCCTGCAACCTCTTGGATATGGATGCTACTGCATCATTGTGTGCGTCCATTATTATTGATATCTGTATGTATAAAGCAATATCTGCTTTATACTGTTCTAATAATGATCGCGTTGGGATGGGAAAACAATAATAAGTGAGGGAGGCTTAGACCGTTGTCAGATGCGTACAGTTGGCGGGCAACCGTTAAGAACCCCTATTGCATTGGCGGTATTAGATACCTGGGCTAGGTACCTAAGGTAGATAAATTCAATGCATCTAAGACAGACATAGTTAACGGAATCATTCGAGCAGGCTTATTTTAAGCTACGAAGTTCTTTGACAGATTTGATACTTGTTTTTGAATATTTCATTTTAATTGATTGATAGTATTTTCACCTTCCAATATTACTACACGTGCAACTATTCAGGTTACAGGTAGAGACCATGCAGTGAACAATATCTACATCAACTTATTTTAACTACAGTTGTACTGCATTATATGCTTAGAAAAATTAACGTGATAGTTTAATGCAAAGTATAGGTAACCTTATGTACCTAAGACAAAAAGGACAATATTGATTTCAGCTTCAATCCCATCCTTTGGGATGAAGTTTAATAAGCTTTTTGGGTTAATCTAGAAGATAATGATATAAACTATTATAATAGCCAACTACATTTTTGACCATGGTATATATTATAAGTATATTATACCGCAATGCTTCTTATACCTACTTCCTATATACTACTTAACCCTTAGTATTCTCCAAGTCTGTTCAAATAGCGTTATCATATTTGATCGGTTCCCTCGTTCCAGTCATTCTGTTTCTACTGAGTTGTCCTATAAATGCAATTAAATCAATTGCGATATTACTAACAACAATAGCCAAGTAAAAAGCCGCTATCGCCTCTTAACTAACCTAACCCTGCCGTCCGGGGCATGGGGTACGGGGTAACCCCACAGCTCCCCTCTTCGCTCTTCGGTAAACAATTCCACGAACGCTATACCCTGTAGTCTTCTATCTTGCGGAGACTAGGCCTCACCAGCCTGCTTAAACAATGTAGGCCATGCAAGTTAAGCCGTCAAGCTCGGGTTATATTCTCCCTTCTGCTGTTAGCTGAAGATATGGATCCATAAGATCAGGAATAAGTTTTATATGGAGTACACTATTCATAAATAAGTAACGTAGACTTATCTTCAGTAACTCCGCAAGGAGGTCTTGCGATTGATTATATGTTTGTTCGAAGCCCACACCGACCCTTGTTATAGTACTGGGCATTATCATGAGGGTCAATGTACTTGCTCAATGGGCTTCGGCACTCGCCCTTCTCCCCTTGGCCAATAGCGAGCCTTCCATGACTATCATCGACGAGAATGTGACGCGTATTTCTAATGGCGACACCTTCTCAATGGACGTCGAGTCGTCCGGCTACGTCACTAAAATGTGGTGGAACGGCCGGGAAATCGTAGGTAACGCGACCGGAGGCTACACCGACACGGGCGGCAAGACGACGTTCAATTTTACGTCCGGTCCGACCCTAATCGAGAAGACGGACTCTATGATCCATGTTAGATTCAACAACTCCGATTTTGGAGATGTCTATTACGTTCTTTTCAGTGGTCTAAATGGACACTATCAATACGTCGTCAACCGGAATCTGGGACACCAGGGCGAGGTTCGGAGCCTATACCGCCTTGATCCGCTTCAGTTTACTTGGGGTCGAACCAAAATTAAGAATGCGCCGTTGCCCACGATCCAAGACATCAAAACTGGATACAAGGTGCAAGATGAAACTTGGCAGAGGCCTAATGGCAGCTACATCACTAAATATGATTTCTCATGCTACGTTAGAGACCTTGACTTCCACGGTTTATACGGAGACGGTGTAGGGGCTTATGTGATTGCCCCGGGGAAGGATTACTATATTGGTGACCACCTCAAGCAGGAGCTTATGCTTCATAGAGAGAGCTCCACGGACGATGCGGTTCTACTGCACATGTACCATGGTAAGCCAGCATTTCACTAACCACCGCTTTCTCTTATAAGTGCGGAGGGCTCACTTCTGGCCTAGGCTCTCACTATAACTCAGAATTCAGCAACCTAATCCCATTAGACAAGATGTGGGGACCGTGGCTCTTTTACGTCAACAATGGCGACTTAGATGATGCCGCGGCGCAGAGTAAAAAAGAAGACGCAGCGTGGCCTTACCCCTGGCTCCAGGACACTAAATACCGCCAGCGAGGCACTGTGCGAGGGCAACTAGTCCTCGGCGACGGACGACCCGCAGCCGGTGCGGCTATCTTCCTAGGCGACGAGGACGGCGCCGAAACCAATAACCAGGGTTCTAACTACCAGTATACTACGTACGCCGATGCCAACGGTTCCTTTGTTCTGGGCCACGTTCGACGGGAAAAGGGGTATCGCCTCCTAGCGTGGGCTAACGGGGGTGCTCTTGCTGATGTAGAAGGCGTGCACAATGGCACGGTGGTCGAATTCACTAATACAAACTGTTCCGATATCGACTTAGGTACCATCGTATGGGAAATTCCAACAGGCCGGCGCCCAGTATGGCAAATCGGCGACTTCGACCGCAAGACGCTCGGGTTCAGATTAGGCGGAGCGCAGATGGAACACGGACTAAGCGATGCGTGTCCGGCGAACCTCGTATACGCCATTAGCTCTAGTCAGGAAGACGACTGGTGTTTCGCACAGAGCGCACAAGGGAACTGGACCGTGATTTTTCCCGAAGCAGACCCAGCAACACGGGAGCGCGGCGCTATCCTCAGCCTCTCGTTCGCGGGGTACACGAGCCAGAACGGATACGGACTTGGCAGGGACTCGTACGCTTTTCCGGAGGTAGAGCCGACGGGTCTCAATGTCAGCATGAACCAACAGTTGGTCGGGACCATCGCGAGCGAAAACGCAACAGACGGGGCGCTGTATCGAAGCGCGACGACATCCGGCGGTTACTATGCTAGGCAGTTCACTATCCCCGGGGAAATGTTCCTCTCTGACAGGGCAAACAGGCTGGATTTGTAAGTGGTATAAACCCATCCCTGATACTGACGTCGCCCACATTAAACTAGGGAGCTTCTTCCGATCTCCTCCATGAGCCTGTATGCTCGTGCTAACCATAACCAAAACGCAGGACCCTGACGCAAAACCACAGATGGAGAGGGATAATGTGGGATGCGCTCAAGCTTGAGTGGTTGTAATCATATTGTATAACCCCTATAACGGAAAAGATAGTCGTTCTTAAATATACCAGAGCACCTCGGGGATGCTACTATATAAAACAACTATTTCATACACATTATGTTAGAACCTAACTATTATATATTATAGTTTTTTTTTAGAGAAATTGCAATCCAGAATTGACCAGTGATGACAATCCAAGAGGCAATATCTATAAGTTTGATAGAAACAGTTATGTGCAGGGTATCATTGGAATTACGCAACGCCTAAATAAGCAGACGCCCCCTATGCAAACCGAAAGTTCCATATATCATGAACGTGAAATGTATGGCATTCATATGGTGTTCGTTCGGCGTTCCTGTTTAGATCACAATCTAGGATCGAGATTGTGCTCTGTTGATCATCCTGGCACGTGTCCTCGCCCTCTTAACTTCCTGTTTCCTCCTGATAGTTCTCACATGTCTTCGCTGTCGGAGACTAACCGCCCAGGCAAATATGGTTTCGCGCATCAAGACTAGGATTGTTCCTATCATGACGGGAACCGCAATCCACCAGCTGTCTTGCGTTAGTAAATATCTCCACGGGCATTTATATCAGGGGTAGACTCACAAGTAGGTAACAGAGCCTTTGATCGCCTCAAAGTCAGCAAAGTTCTGGCCGAAGTATCCAGTTAAAAATGTCAATGGCAGGAATATGACGGTAACGTTGGTCAACTGTTTCATGCTCTCGTTTTGGTTCGTCGTAACAGTATTAAAGGTGAGGTTAATCATGTGATTAGCCAACTCTTTGATCTGATTGAGACCTTCTGTGATGAGAACACAATGGTCGTACTAGAAGGTGTGAATTAGTGATTGAGTTAGGAGAGAGTTAAATAAATCCAGCTAGTTAGACTATATCTAGCGAAAATGGGTGCTAAAGAAAAGCGGTTAAAGACATAGCACTTTGATAAGAAACTTACCACATCACCCAAGTAAGTGCAAGTCAGCGGTGAGATAATAACCCCTCCGTTGGGATTCTGCAGTTCCTGCACTATGGCTTCCTGGCTCATCTTCGTCTTGTGGTCGCGGAGCGCACTAATAAGCGTTTGAATTGGGTTGATGAGACTGTATAATTTGCTGACTTCGGAGATCACGATGTAAAGGTACTTGGTGTCGGTCACCTTGGGATTTATGAAAAAGTCAAGCTCCAGATCCTCGATAACATCCCTGTAACATGAGGTAACTGGTATAGCCATGTCGATGATTGCATCGATAATGGCCTGTGCAACCATTGATGCATCGCAAGATTTCCTTAGGATTGTAGTTGGGCTTGCCAACCGAGCCAGTATAGGTTTCTCCACATCATCAGCCGATTGCTCAAAGAAGGCAATTACTGTGTTATCAGATGTTATGAACATAGCAACCTGCTCAGCAGTGACTGCTACACCTCTAGAGACCAGAGCTGAGTTCTTCTCCATGTATTCTGTTCGTGCAGAGTTTGGTGAAGCATGATATCTCTGCAGTGTACGTAGCGTGTTTGGGCTAAACACATTGGAGAGATTAGTCGGTTGATGTGCGAAGCTTTGAACTGGTGTCGACGTTGGCTGTGTGCCACTCTCGAGCGCGGTATCGCCTTTCATGGTATTCTCAGATTTTCTGCGGAACCATCCCCTAGCCTTCTTGCCTCCCGTTTTCACACTCTTTTCGTCATCGCTGCTGTCGTCGTCACTGCTGTCATCCTCTACTATGCGGACCAGCTTCTGACACGTGAGAACAATGAAAGCATGATTAGTATACCTTTTGAAAGATAGTAATTAGTCGCCTAGTATAATTCCTCAGAGAGTGATTTCCTTACCAATCAGCTTTGGTGCGATTCCTTGTGTTCATGATATCCTCAATTGCCAATCTATGTAGGTCTTTGTATTGACCTAAGGCTTGAATGACATCCCATGATAGACCATTTACGTTGATCCATCGACATTTTACCCAACTAGGTTGTGGCTTTTGGATAAATTCGATGAGTTGATGATTGTCCAACTCATGTATCTCCAAATCGTCTTGGGAGAAGTCTACAACTGTGATTCGGCACTCTGCGTGGAGAGTGGGTACTGTCTCTTGACCACCATCGGGCTTCGAAGGGTCAACACCTGGTTCAGCACCCGGCTTCCACCCTGGCTGGCCTTCAAACTCTTCAAACTCGTCTACAGTCAGGAACGTATTCGATCTAGTCATACGTCGTCTGAATGCAGAAATCGGGGAGACCGGAGGAGGATTATTCTCAGTAGATTGTCGAGGAGTTGAGATCTTGACGTGCGAACCACGGTGTGTCCTAGTTCTGTCTTGTGGACTCTCTGAAGATGCAGCAAATGGTGCGCTTGTACTAGGGGTAGGCTTGGAAATTGGCGCCGTTGTTGTAGGACTAATGTCAGGCAGATCATCTGGTACGTCGGGAAACTTCTCCAACGTCGTACTGTGTGAAGAAGATCTGTGTGAAGAAGAAGATCGGTGCGACATTGTGTAAGACTAGGACTAATTGCCCTTTCGAGACGCGAGGTGAGGTTCAGCTTGATCAACAACTCTAGGACAATGGCGGTGGACAGAAGAAGGGATAACTTCTACTGATCTAACCTTTCCATAGGATTAGAAAAGTCGCGCGCGCGTTCGCCATTTGTTGTCAAAGACAACCCCCTATCAGTCTGAAACGAGCAGCTGAGAAACTGGGTACTGACAAGTAGAACTCTTAAGGAACTGTGATGAGGGAATTGGGGAACCAAATAAGATATTCAATAAATATGTCCATTGATTGGCCACAGGTTGTAGGAATACCTAACGCATACCTCATAGACTAGATATTTTAAGAAAGTTGGAAGTGAGTGTGTCGAGTGTCGAGAAGCTGACTGACTAAGGTTACTGTGAAAATGAAGTAATTCCCCACTTTAAGCTTGGAATAGGCTATCCCGCACCGCGACGTCAAGGGTTAACATTTGGTAATTTGAAAAGAGATGACGCTATTGGATACCGGCAGTGAATTTTTAGATACGTACTAAACTTGTGTAACGGAACAAAAGATAGTGCAATGTGGAAGGTTCTAGGCCCAGATTAAGCTTTTTCGTACATTAGTGTAGATAATCGTATATCGTATATAATGTTCTTCTAGTAGTACCTTTAAGTAAGATGTGCAGGAATAAAAAGCAAAATCTACCTCCTATAGAAATACGGAGTATACAATTAAGTACATAATGTACCTAAGTATATACATGTACATAATACATAACTAGGTACCTATGTATATTGACATCATTGAAGCCAAACAGTTAGTAATACTTAGGTAAGTAATCTATACCGGGGTGAAGCTAATTGGTATATGACGTATTGGCGTTCTCAAACAACCACCTTTTGTCCATACATGCAAACACATGCAAACACATGCAAACCACGCAAACACATTCAAGCTAGATACATAAACGTAGATGAATCCATAATACCTTACCCACAGGTACATCTCAGCGATCATCATGGCTGAATATGAAGCTCGCCGGCTTGAAAATATCAAGCGAAACAAGGCTCTTGTGAAAGATCTAAGTCTACATAATAGCATCATCTCTTCAAGTAGAGGAAATCAAAAAGTCAAAGATTACAATCCATCTCCTGCAAAACGTCGTAAGCTCTACATTAATTCCCCTAGGCGGTCGTCAGCTCGCATTGCAAATGCTTCAATGAAGCTACCTCTCCATAAAGATATCCAAGACGATTCAGATTCATCAAGCAATCGGCCTCATAAGGGCCGGGCAGCAAAACCTAGCCATGATGATGAACTGGCCTCTAAGCCTTCCAGTCCAGAACCAAAACTTAGTCCAGATTTTGATTCTCTAATTACAAAATGGTCTTCATGGACTCTTGCGGCACCTCCCCCAACACGCGACGATGAGGGGAACTATCACTTTGAGTCGCATCCTACATTTACCCCTAATAAGTCACCCGAGGCTATCATTCGTGAGGGTTCTTTCGGAGGAACATACTGGCGTCCCCTTTACTCTCGACGCCTTCGTACTACTATAACCGACGACTGGAAAGAATTACCAGCAGAATGGACCGAGGGTCTTGACGTAGGAAAGTACCTCACCAGCGAGGTTGTTGACCCGGGAGTTAATAAGTACGGAGTCGCATGCGGGCAGACTATCGAGCAATGGGAAGCCTCCGGATGGATTATGCACGAATACGACGTCCGCGGCTGGTTTCAGTGGTACTGCAGATTCTGGCAAGGACGTCGGTGTCCGGACGATAACCGTCAAGTAAGCAGGTGGAAGAGGTGCGTTGGGGAAAAGGGAAGATGGCGCAAAGCTCTTCTTAAGAAGTACGTGCAAAATGGTATACGTAGCGTAACTGATGAGGGAGAAGACGATCAGAAGGAAGAAGTGAGTCCTGTTATGCATCAGACGTGCCATCATTGGGCTTGGGAAGTCAGGCAAGAGGTATTAGATCGATTTTGGGAGGAGTGCGAATAGTTCGCCCAATTGTCCATGATACTTCGGCCATTTAATTCATGGTTGCGAGAGATGATGCGGAATCTGGCAAACATGGAGATGTTGGATAGTAGTGTAAGTGTGACTCAGGGGAAAAGTGAGTGCTATCAACACAGTCCACATTTCCTCTCAAGTTTTCACACCTCATAACCATACGTCAGGAAACTACTTGCTAGCCACCCATTTTCCACGTTATACTCATCTGCAAAAGTCGACCCGTGGAGAATCTTATAGTCTATCATCTGTCCGCAGCCTACTGTCGAGTTTCCATCGCATTCATGATTTTTATCCTGGCCAAGCAGACCAGCAATACGCATCCCAACATCCCGACCCTCAAACCAGGCCCCGTGTAAAAACCCATAGTATTGCGCTGAGGTGGCCTCACCGGCGAACCAGAGCCGGTCTACGTTGGCTCGAAGGTTTTGGTGCTTCTCCAGCGTCATGCCTACCGGCCAATTGCTGTAAGAGCCATAGGCCCATCTTTGAAACGGGCATCAGTTACACGTCATTTAGTCAGGGGTCTGTCACTCACTCTTCCGTACTCCATCGCGGATAGTGGAAATCGATAGGATCTGGGATCTCCTTTTCTGGGAACATGGTCCTAAGAACTGCCATGACCTCTGCCTTCGTCTCCTCGTCAGATTGCTGCTCAACCCTGTATGATTGGCCATCAACTACCGTCACGAAGATGATGTTGGACTCTTCCATAAAGCCAGGGGCGGCAAGTGACTGCCAGACGGGATAATAGCCTCGGGACTTGTCGTCAGCGTACAGGAAGAATTCTGTATTCCGATCCCAGAAGGTTTCGTTAAACTGCAAGAAGATTTTGGTGTAAGTCCCCATCTGGAATTGCTCGATAGCTTCGCATTTCCATCGTGGCAACGGAGGGTCGAATTCGACTACATTGTTCTGTAGTACCCCTACCGAAAATGTCGCAATGGCATCTAGAGCTTTTGAATCAGTAATTGACACTAATAAGAGGTGCAATCCTTAACCAATGGGCTCTAGGTCGCAGAGAAAAATTGTAATGATAAACAGGGAGTTGATTAACTGACATTCAGCCTCGATACACCCGCCATCTTGAAGCTGAACAATCACACCACCAGGACCGTACGAGATTGTTGTTACGGTAGTCTCCAGCAGAAGCCGCGGATCGTTCTCCTCAAGGAATTCATGCGCTTCCCCAACGACGAACGTGTTAAAGCCCCTCTGATCCCACACGAAGTTGTTCTCATCACTGAACTGGTAGAAGGTCAAGTTATACCCCGTAACACCGAAAAGAAGCCCGCTCTGTTCGGGCGCCCAAGCGGTTTCCCAATCCCACTCCCACCATTCGAGAGCTTGAGCGCGCATATCCTTCTTGGGTTTCCAGCCGGCAACACTGAGCCCCGCGCGCATACTAGTGTCTTGTAGGTTATCAGTGAGGATATACCCGGCATCTTGCTCTACCGTCGTATATGCATTTTCAAACGTTTTGAATAGGTCACTGAAATTAGCAACGCCGGCCCCGTCGTACGTCAATATGGAGCTGTAATTCGAGTACGTGTTATTCAGCCCGTACTTCTTTGCCAACGTCCATATGGGATTCTCAGGACCGCCCTCAGAGCCCAGTCCCTGCACCCAATTTGCGCCCAGCTCAATAACATAGGGAGTCCCGTCAGGTTTCGATCCGAAATTAGTATGAGCCACTATATCCGAGCGTCCTGGAGTTAGCACAGAATCATCTTTATTTTTATTTCAGACATGCTTAATTTCCCAAGCATCACCCCTCTCTTCTAACGATCTTTCGTAATTGTTAATAATATAGAATACTATGAAAATCATAATAAAACTAGGAGATATTATGCATACCGCGACCACCAATATAGTCGTTACGATCAACAATTAAAAAATCCGAGACAGACGCATTCGACAACGCCTGAGCGGCCGTGATACCGGCAACTCCCGCTCCAAGTATCGCGACCGTCGTTTTGCGACACTCGGTCTCGCTGTTTACTCCCCGCGTTACCACTCTCCCAGCACATCCGAGAGGTGCAGCAAGGGCGCACAGGACAGCGAAAAGCCGCCGGTCGGTCAATTGCATCGTGATGCGCTACTTTCCAGGTTTAGGAGTTATGTTGAGAGAATCGTGCTGGCAACTCGCCCAGACAGAACCTTTATATACCTAAGGTATGTATCTAATGTTCCCTATCAATTGACAAATGGCAACGACAGCATTGATTATCACAACATCCCGCCCAAGCCCCTGCGGCTGATAAGGCGGGAAGAGCCGAGCCAGCTGCATCGGGCCTGAATACTGAAAGCTGATGTTCCCTCCCGCAGGATCTGCATGCTCAGGTATGATAACGATCCTTGGCTTGCAGGTGCTAAGCGGCTTTCAGCAGCTCGAGGTTGTATCGCAACGCAAACGCAGCTCAGTTGATTCACCGGTGTAAGGATAAAATGGTTACAGGTGTTATTACATGACTAGGGTCCATAAGACCCATTATAAGTCTACATAAATACCTAAATCTTACAAATATTAAAAATTTTTTTAGATATTTTATAATATAATAATTATTTATATTAAATAATGATTATATTATAATTAATAGTTTTACTGTTTTTTTTATTAAAACGGGTAAATTAAAATTAAAATTAAAATTAAAATTAAATTAATTAATTAACCAATTATTTTTTAAAATTTAATTGTTTTAAGTTTTATTGTTTAGTAATTTTAAACCAAATTATTAAATTACTTTAATAACGATTACCATTTTAAATTGTTTATTTTTTAAACAATTTTTATTGTTTATTTAAAAAATATTAAAATATTTATTTTATTTTTATTTTATTAATTTTTATTTTTATAATTACGTTATTTTCGATACTTATATTAAAAACATAATTATAAACTTGTTAATTATTTTAATTTTTTTAAATTAATTATTTTTATATTATAAAAATTTAAAAAAACGATATTATTTTTATCTTTCCGAAAGAATATTGCGCTTAAACTTTTTTAATTGATAAGGTAATTGATAAGGTAATTGATAAGGTAATTGATAAGAAATTGTATGTGCTTACGTAAAAATACCCGGAAATTGATAAGACCATTGATAAGACCCCGATAAGCTGATAAGACCCAACACCTACAAATCTGATTGGCCGCACCCCGCATCACCCCCGCACCATCCGAGTGTTTTTATTGGGTGCATCCCTTTTAACCCTTGCACCTTAAAATTGATTGATTGGGTGCATCGCTTTTAGCCTTTGCACCGGTAATGTGTTTTGATTGGATGCATTTGCTTAGCGCCTTTAGCCGTTAGCCTTGCAACACCTAGCCTTGCAGCCTTTAGCCTTGCAGCCCCTAGCCTTGCAGCCCCTAGCCTTACAGCCCTTAGCCTTGCAGCCATATGCTTACATAATCAACCAAAATGACAATAACCTTACAAGTGGTTAATTTGAAAAATGACCGATATTTAAAAATAAAATAAAAATTTAAAAAAATAATAAAAAATAATATAAAATAAATAAAAATAATAATGAAAAATAA